GGCGCGATGGCGGCGCTGGGCGGGGATGGGCTGCGCCTGCTGTCTGTATCGCGGCCTGAGCGGCAGTCCGAGTCTACAGCGCTAGGCGGCCCAGGTTCCGGGCTGTGCTGCTGGGTGTCAGTGTTCTCCTGCCTCAGTCTTGCCTGCTCCTACGTGGGCAGCCTCTACGTCTGGAAGAGCGAGCTGCCCAGGTGCGGGGACTCTGCGCGGTCCGAATCTGCGCCTCCGTGAGGCTGGGATGCGGGCGGAACTTGGGGGGGACCACGCTGACAGGTGGCGGCTGAGGGCACCCTGAACTTACTGTCCCCTTCGTAGAGACCACCCTGCTGTCATCAAGCGACGCTTCACCAGTGTCCTGGTAGTCTCCAGTCTCTCGCCTTTCTGCGTACTGCTCTGGAGAGAACTCACTGGCATCCAGGTGCGAAGGAGGCGGGGCAAGGGACAACGGGATGGAACTCAAGGGTCTTTGGGGAGGGAGCGAGACTGATGCCTCCTTTCCTGTGGCTCAGCCAGGCACATCCCTTCTCACTCTGATGGGCTTCAGGCTGGAGGGTATTTTCCCAGCAGCTCTACTACCCCTGCTACTGACCATGGTGAGTTCTGCTTTATCTTTCCTACTGTGTTGTCGTTAATATCACAGGCCTTTTGTGGCTTCTTTTCCCCCCTCTCTTATGGCTGATGGAAGACAGGTCCCTGAGATATGCATGGGTAGGAAATCCCAGAATTGAAAAGGTCTGAAGTCTGATGAGGCTGGCTGAGGTTAGAGGTCTGGAAAAGGTCAGTGGTTTGTGGTGAATGTCTTTCCTTTGATTTCTGCTGTTTTTATGTCCCCAGATCCTTTTTCTGGGCCCACTGATGCAGCTCTCTATGGACTGCACGTGTGACCTGGCAGATGGGCTGAAGGTTGTCTTGGGTGAGTGTTCAATGCAAAGGGGGAAAGTAGGCATAAGCAGGCCAGGATAATGGGAAAGAGAATCAGTAGGCTCGTAGTGCAAGCTGGACAGGAGATAGGAGATGTTATCTCCAGGGTGTGTTTCCTTATCGGTAAAATTGGATCACATTGCTGGGTGCTCAAAAGAGTTGGTTCCTGATGTACAAGGAGTCCCCTTGGGGCCTTTGACAATACTTGGTATGGACCAGAGTGTCATCTCCTGCTTCCTCAAGCGTTTTGCTTCCTCAAAGTAGAATTGGTCTTACATTTTGATGTCTCCATAGTTTACTACAAGATTACCTTGCCTCCGCTACTAATGCTAAATCATGTCAACACATTGCTTGGTAAACATAATATTCAGTTGTCCCCTTCCCTATTTCACAGAAGCATTGATACCTGGTCCATGTTTGGCTTGGGTAAAATTGTGGAAGAGGGGCCTTTGAGTCTCATTGTTCAATAACTAGTCATTCATTGCCTGTCCTGAATCTGCTACTTAGCCCCCCGCTTCTGGGCCCGCTGCCTCACAGACATGCGTTGGCTGCGGAACCAAGTGATTGCACCCCTGACAGAGGAGCTGGTGTTCCGGGCCTGTATGCTGCCCATGTTAGCACCGTGCACAGGCCTGGGCCCTGCTGTGTTCACCTGCCCACTCTTCTTTGGAGTTGGTGAGTGTGTTTAACTTGGTCCTAAGAATGAGGCTTGGGCTGAGGGGTGAGCCTAGAGCGAAGGCCAGAGGGATATGGTATGGTTCACATTTTCTTTGTAGCTCATTTTCACCACATTATTGAGCAGCTGCGTTTCAGCCAGAGCAGTGTGGGGAGCATCTTCTTATCTGCAGGTGAGTCCTGAAAAGCTTGCCTGGGGCAGTTCTGGGTTGAGTGTGTTAGTGTATCCCTGACAGCCACGCTAGAGACTTAGAAACAGAGGCTATAGCATTGGAGGGACCACTGACCATGGGAATTGGGGTGTAGAGGACAGCTATAGGTGGTAAAGCAGGCAGCCACTGGCCCCAGGGGGAAGGTGATTGTCTCCGGCTGATGGGCATGCAGTGCTGGGGCAGGGTGGGTGTACAGGTGTGGTCACTCGCAGCCTCCCGTCTCCAGCGTTCCAGTTCTCCTACACAGCTGTCTTCGGTGCCTACACTGCTTTCCTCTTCATCCGCACAGGTTGGTCCTCAGTCTCTCACGGGTCTCTGGGGATTCAGGGACCCACAGGAGTGGGTGGGAAAATGGGAATACTGTGTTCTAGGAGTGACAAAAAGTTTCTTCAGCGGTCCTTGACACAGGCTGAGCCAGAGCTCCCAGCATGGTGAAGTCTGAGAGGTGGAAGGAAGCAGAGTGGGTGGGGGTGGGCCACTGAGCTCCTGCTTCAGGGGATGAGGGTCACTAGTCCTGAAGGGGTAGAGGTGGTGGTAGGGCTGCTCCATGAGCCACATTGTCTCCCCTCTCCAGGACATCTGATTGGGCCAGTTCTCTGCCACTCCTTCTGCAATTACATGGGCTTCCCTGCTGTGTGTGCAGCCCTGGAGCATCCACAGAGGCGGCCCCTGCTGGCAGGCTATGCCCTGGGTGTAGGACTCTTCCTGCTTCTGCTCCAGCCCCTCACGGATCCCAAGCTCTACGGCAGCCTTCCCCTTTGTGTGCTTTTGGAGCGAGCAGGGGATTCAGAGGCCCTCCTGTGCTCCTGACCTTCACTCATACGTGACTAAAGTGAACTCTCATGGGCTTCCCAGCCCCTCCCCATCAAGGGGTACTACAGGGGAGAGGTTGGCTGAGGTCCCCGAGATCTCAGGAATTTTTGTAGGGGATTGAAGCCAGAGCTAGTTGAATCCCAGGGACCAAGAGAAAGAAGCAGACATCCAAAGGATGCAGTCCCTCTTGAAGGGGTGTTGAGGAGCAGCTAGGAGCGAGGGAACAAGGGGAGGTCCCAGGAGCTGTGTACTCCCTCCCTTTGGACTGCTGCTTCTCTTAACTCCTCTGCCCCACCCCTACCTGCCTCTGAAAAGCTGCTCAGGGGGTTTTATTTGTAAAACCCCTCCCCTGAACTTCCCAGGGTTTTCTCACTGTCTTTTTGCATCAGGACTTTATATTGGGATATTAAAGAGATTTAACTTGGGTAACATGGCCTCGGATCTTTGGGAATCCATCTATTTGGAGTCTTAGGAAGAATCCCAGACATCCTAGCTACCTCAAACACTAACCTCAGGGCAGTCAGCCCAGTAGGCAGTTCCCAGGAGTACGGGGTGAAGTGGGGGCACCTAAGGACATGGCTTTCTCCGAGCCATGCTCCATGTGCTAACACAAGTGGGTCTGAGATTGCAGGTACCAGATGTGGGCCCAGGCACTCATGGCCTTGACCTCATCAATGGAGCCTCCAGCTTGTGGAGGGTCCTCTAGAGTCTACCAACTACATTTGATGAGTGGAAGCAAGTCCAGAACAGGAAAGGAACCTGCTGAGTCTCCCCAGAGTCTGTACTTCTGGTTTTCTCCACCCATATCACAGTCATCATGCCTCCAGAGGAACTCAGAACAAAGGCCACAGCCCTGAGAACAATAGAGACTCTTCCAAGCAATACTGTAAGTTGTTTTTTTTTTTTTGTTTTGTTTTGTTTTGTTTTAAAGAACCTACTAGGTATGCTATCTTCTTGCTTTGCCCTGTCTAGGACCCTTTTCTTTCTCTTTGCTTCTTTAAAGAATATCCTTTTAGGACTCATTCCACAAGGCTGGTGGTTGCAGGAAAGGAAATGCATGTGCAGTCACTCCCCCATGATACTCCCAGGCTGGCTGTGACTAAACTACCATTATAAAGGACAGCACCACAGTTATACATCTGCCTCCCTGGAGAGCCTCTACCTTTTCTGTGTAACAGCTATCAGGATGAGAGGGATGATTAGGGACCTGTTTAAGGGGGTACACTTGGGATCCTGAAGCCCAGTGTGACTTGTGTGCCCAGGTCAAGTACCTGTACCCTGAGAACACTTGACAGACAGGCTTGTAGGGCCCTAGGGATGTCCTTCCTGCCTGGTCCCCCTGGTATCCGGGCTTAGTCCTCCCCTTCCTCACAGAGTCTAGCATTTCTTCCACCACCCCCCTCCCTGTTATGCTCAGGAACTGCCCATCTACCTGTGCCTGTCTCCTTGCACCATCCGTGGGTAGGATGGTAATGATGCAGTTAGGATGGTAATGATGCAGTCAGAATCTGTCCCCTCTGCAGGTAAGAGGACTGAGACGCAAGGTTTTCTTGAGAGCTGGTTATGGGATGGGCAGGGGAGAACAGGGGTGACCCTGTCTCCAGTCTACTAATTTCCCACCCACATCCTCAACCTAGAACATGCAGTCTGTCTCATCTTCATTCCCAAGGGTCTTCCATTGCCCAAGTAGTCCTGTGTTGTGTGCACTTAATCCTGAGTTAATGAGGCAGGAGGTTGGCCTTGGCTGGAAGTAGGTCTGTTGACGGCCTAGCTTTAGTTCCTCTCTGCCTTTTCCTACTTGTGGAGTTCTGGAGAAGTTATCTAACTTTCTATGACTTGATATGTGTCCATAAGATGGGTGAAAGTTGATTCTTCCAGTTAAGTGTTTAGAACAAACCTTGTTCCCAAGCAAGCTCAGTAATAGCTGGTCATATTTGGGGTGTGTATAATATAATAGGTACACAGTTGCCATTCTGTCCCCAGCCCCAGTTTGAGAGGCAGCCATATCCTCTCTGCCTCTGGGCTGGGGGCAGCACTGGGGGCAGTAGGGTGGATGGCACAGGACCCAGAATGGAGTGCAGAGGAAAGCTAGTTTTATTGAGTAAATGTCCCAGGATCTGGGATTTAGGTCTCCCCTGCAACCAAGAGGTAGGACCCCTTAATCTTCTCCAGGTCCTAAGACCATCTACTCCTCCACCTGTGGTCTCCCATGAGGAGAGGACCCTTATTTGGCAAGAGATGAATATATATGAAACTGTCCACCAGTGAGGAAAGGACAGATGGCTGAAGGGAATGGGCCTCTACAGGAGTCTCTGCTGTCCCACTGAGGACAGGACCTCCAGGGTCAGGCATTCCTGCCCTTGGACACCAGCCTACCTGGGCCTGCTCTGGCAGCACAGCTTCTGTTGAAGGTTTGGGGTGGGGATGGCTAGGCTGCCAACCTGGGACAGGATCACTCAATCTCTAGGATGAGGTCATCTCCTTCCAATGTTATGTCCTTGGTCACATGGACCTTGCGGACAGTGCCCTCCATGGGCGAAGTCACCACAGTCTCCATCTTCATGGCACTGAGCACACACAGGGGCTGGCCTTTAGTCACCTTGGTTCCTGCTGCCACCTTGATGTCTATCACCTTCCCAGGCATGGGTGCCCCAATTTGGCCTTTCACATCCTTCAAAGCTTTGGGGTGGAAATGCATCTCCTGCAGACAGGGCAAATGGGACATGAGACAACAGGTCTGGCCCACCTCACTACCTGGCTGGCTCTGAGGGAACCGCACCTTCATGGCCTGGGTGTCCTTGATCAGGATGGAGCGCAGCTGCCCATTGAGCTCAAAGAACACCTGTCTCTGGCCAGCCCGGTTCAGGTCACTCACAGCCAGAGCTTTGATGTGCAGTGTCTTGCCTCGCTCCAGCTCCACCTGCAGGGAAAGCATGGAGGCTCAAAGCTAGGGGGAAATCGAGAAGACAGGTCCTAAACACCACAGGGAAGTCTTCTGCCCTGGGTCTCGGCTCTTCACTTGGCAAGGCCAGCTCTTGGTTTCTCAAGGGTCTTTTCTGCTCCCAAAGCCCACAAAACTGGGTGAGAACCAGGCCAAAGTCTGGAGCTCTTAGGGAAGGGGTGCTGGTTAGAGTGGGCAAGCACTAGAGCTACTGACCTCAAACTCCTCTGCAATTTTGGGTCCCTGCAGAAAAAGGCGGGTATTGAGGCTATCCAAGGGGCCAAAGGTGGCAGTGAAGTCCTTGAATTGGGCAAAGACATCAGGGTACATGGCTGCTGAGAGTACATCCTCTGGGGTCACTTCTTCCCCATGCCGCTCAATCAGCTCCTTCTCCAACGCCTGTAGATCCAGGGGAGGGAGGGAGGCTCCAGGCCGGCCCTCTACCCGTGGCAGATCCTTTAGCACCTGAACAGCAAAGGAGAAGGTCAGGCCTCCTTCCTGTACCCAGCTCCCCATCCTCACACTATTTTGGCCTTCCCTACCTTAGAGCGAAGGGGTTCGGGGAAACCCCCGTGAGGGACTCCGATGTAGCCCTGCAGGAACTCCACCACAGAGCGGGGGAAGGACAGCTCTTCTGCCTGAGCTTCAGCATCTGCTCGACTCAACCCATTCTGCACCATGAACTGGGCCAGGTCCCCCACAATCTTGGAGGAAGGAGTCACCTGAGGAGAAGGGGCTCTGGACGTTATGGTACCAGGCTTCTTATTGGAAGCCCAGAAAAGAGTGCAAGACTGTGTCAGGTAAACACCCATCTTACCTTGATGAGGTCACCCAGCATCTGGTTGGCTTCCACGTAGGCCTTCTTGACCTCCTTGAACTTGGAGCCAAGTCCCATGCTGTGGGCCTGGAAGTGTAGGTTGGTGTACTGGCCTCCTGGGATCTCATTCTCATACACATCCGAGTTGCCAGACTTCATGGTGGCCGTGCAGTCAAAGGCAGCATACAGTCCCCGAGTGCCCTCCCAGTACTCGCTGTAGTCAAACACGCGCTCCAGGGGTATATCTGCAGGGAGGCCCAAGTCAGAGGAGAGCCTGGCCGTGTACTGAGCTCCCAGGAGTTCCTCCCAGGACCCAGGGCCGGTTCAGGTCTCATTTTAGGCCAGTGTGGGGTATCTGGATCCTAGATATGGCCAACTTTACTGAGACTGCTGGCTGCAGCTTTGAGAGGGGCATGGCCATGGGGTATTCCTCTTTACCTGTGTCTAGGGGAGTCCCTTTGGTACAGGCTACCAGGGCCCCCATGCTGGGCTGTGAGGTCATCCCGGACATGGAGTCAGCTGCCACATCCACTATGTCAGCACCAGCCTGGGCACAGGCCAGCATGGCTGCTACACCTGCCCCTGATGTGTCATGGGTATGGATGTGCAGCGGGAGGTCAGGAAAGCGGTCCCGTAGGGAGCTGACCAGCATGGTGCAGGCTGCTGGCTTCAGCAGCCCTGCCATATCCTGGAGGAAGTGGGAAGAGAGATGGTAAGGAGGGTCCTGATGTGTGCCTGTGGTTGGGGTGAGTGGGCAGAAAATAAGACATGGGCAAATGGCCCAGGCACCTTGATGCACAGGATGTGGGTGCCGGCTCGCACCAGTTCTTCCGCCAAGCCCATGTAGTACTGCAGTGAGTATTTGGTGCGGCTGGGGTCAGCCACGTCACCTGTGTATGAGATGGCAGCCTCCACCACGCCCCCAGCACTTCCTGCTGCTTCCATGCCCAGCAGCATGTTGGGTAAGTAGTTGAGGGAGTCAAAGATCCGGAAGACATCCATGCCATTCTCTTTGGCCACCTCGCAGAACCTGAGTAGGTGAGAACCTGGGATAAGCTCCACCCTACCCCCTGCACATCTCTGGCTCCTGGCCCACTTTATAGCCTCTAGGGGATGAAGTCTGGCCTGGTGGGGTGGGGGTACATGACAGTATAGACAAAGCCTTTTCCAGGGCCGCCTGAGCCAGGCAGGGCGGTATTAAAGGTATCTGCATGAGGCAGAGCTGGCTCCTGGCTAGTCGTATGCCATGCAGTCATCAGCCCCCAGCCAGCGGGATTCCTTGCTTTGCAAAGGAGTGGCAGGCTGTGGGAGAGAGCACAAACAAGGAGTCTTGAGGCCTAGGTTCCAGCCTAGCTTTACTCCATGTGGCCTGAGACACATAATCTCCTCTCAGGGCTTCCACTGCCACATGAGTAATTTGGAAGCTCTTTGGGTTCTGCTGCTGTAATTCTGCACTTCATGGTACAGTGGCCCCTGCTAGGTGTGGCTACACAGACGTGGCTTCCAGACCACTGTGGGGAAGCGCAGGTCATCTTTAACCTATGGGCCCTACTGTGCAGTGTCTGTCCACCGCCCCCCAGGCTCACTTGAACACCACATTGTCAGGGTAGTTGGTGTAGCCCACTGCATTGGCCCCCCGGAGCAGCATCTGGAATGGGATGTTGGGGATGAGCTCCCGGAGCTCCTGTAGTCGCCGCCAGGGACACTCATACAAGAAGCGCATTGCAACATCAAATGTGGCTCCTGGAAGGGGATGGAGGAGAGGCTCAGGTCAGCTCTGGAAGTCACTGGGACCTGCCGTGCCTTGCAGCTCTGTAGCCTGAGTGTTGGGCCCCTGCTATATCTAAGGTTCCTCATGTTCCCAGCTCCAAGCATTACCAATTTTTCACTTTGTTGATGCTCTGGGTGCTCAGGCTCACTTATGCCCTCTGCACATCTGTCTTTACTGCCCACACGTCTTCTTCCAGTCTCCATGCTGTGATTAGCTACAGGCTGGGTATGCTACTGAGCTCCTCAGGACAGTGCCTGGATTTCACCTTTGCAGCCTCAGGCCCCATGCCACGTCTGGCTGGAGTAGGTTCCAATTTGTGGAACAACCGAGCACCCTGCTTTAGTTC